AGTATGTTCCTTCCTGTTCTAGTTATAGTATGTTCTGAACCCCTAAACTATACCTATTATAGTTTACTAGTATGTTTGTTTTGAACTGTCCATGATTTGTAGAAAAGACTCGATTATCTACTGAGTTATGCATGTACTTTAAAAACAGAATTTTATAAACAATAATCTAACATCATTTAAAAGAGTTTTTGAATAGATTTGATCACTTACAAAGCATAAGAAATCCTTTAATGTGATGGCTATCACATGTAAATATTTACACAATATTATTGTGTTCAACTTGTATCCCCCCCCCCTAAAAGCATTTAAAACATTTAAAAGATTGATTATAGGGGTATAAACTCACCTTATGTGGGTGATTCAATTGAAGATTTGAGTAAGGATGATAAGTTCCACAAATGAAGTCCCGAGGCACAAACGAGTCCAAAAGAGTGCTAGAAGCAAGTTAGGAGGTTGAAGGGGTGTTCACGGCCCAAATGGATGGGTAGTTCACGACCCAATGGAGTTCACGGCCCAAATGGAGTTCACGGCCCAAATGGATGGGAGTTCACGGCCCACTTGAGTGGGAGTTCACGGCCCACTTGAGTGGGAGTTCACGGCCCACTTGAGTGGTTCACGGTCAGTTGAGTGGTTCACGGACCAATTGAGTGGTTCACGGCCCAATTGAGTGGTTCACGGCCCAATGATGAACACTTGAAGGGTTCACGGCCCAAACTTGAAGAACTTTGAGGAAAAGTGATGTAAAGATGATGAATCAAGATGGAAAGGTAAGGGCTTCCAAGGAACAACAAGGAGAGATGAGACACTTACATTTTTGGGGTGAAATGAGAGCCTTTGTTGGATGATACTTGAGAGAATTTGAGGGGTTTATGGACAAGGGTTGAGAAATGAGGAATCAATGAAAGAAAGGTACATATATGGGAGGGGTTCACGGCCACACTTGGGTTCATGGCCGTGAACACCCTTTGATGGGTTTTTTGGTTCGATTTCATTCCTTTAATCCTAAGCTAACACTTCTCAAGATCCAATCCTTAAGTGTACTATGCTTAGAACTCATTAAAATGACCCTTAACAAGGCTAAAAGGCAATAGAAATAAGTTTGGCTTTTGGTTGATTGGATTTGACTTTACAAGATAGAAATTTACGAGGTGTCACAGAAACCCTAATCTGACTGGACTCACGATGTGAGCATAATTTCTCACGACATGAGGAGTCAAAACGCCACATTTCGAAGCTAGAAGACGCATGACAAGTCTACGTTTAAGGCTCACGACCTGAGCATGATTTCTCATGACGTGAGGAGTCAAATGGACACTATTCAAGCCTAGAATGCAGATGGCGAAGCTACGAGGTGATACATCCATGGCTCACGACGTGAGCAATTAATTCTCTCGTCCTGAGGGGCCAAAAATCAGCCTATAAATAGCCATTTCGACCTTATCCATTCGTACGCCAAAACCTCTTTCCTCTCTCTGGTTTGTTGAAGCCGTTCCGCGTCCCGAGCCTGATGATCACGAACCGCTGACCGTTTCTAGTCAGATTCTATCAACTCATGCTACTAATGTGAGTGCATAGTTACTTTCATCTTACGCATAGATATGAAGTATGTAATATAAATTACGTGTGTGTGCATATTATAAGTGTTCTTGATATCTATGTTAGATGAACGATTTATACATGTTTACGTGATTTATACTGTATACGTATTTTTATACTTATAAATATATCTTGGGTAGCAACGGGTGATAAGAGATAGGTGATGATAGAAATGTGATGATAATTAGGTGATGAGAGATAGGTGATGATAGAAAGGTGATGATAATTAGGTGATGAGAGATAGGTGATGATAGAAATGTTATGACAATTATATGATGATAGATAGGTGATGATAAATAGGTGATCTGAGATGAGAGGAGATACCATAACCTTGACCGGTGATGTGGCGATGTAGTCATCTACCAGAGTATAGATGGAAACCACAGACTATTCTAGACAGTCATGTGGAAACACCAGCAGGCTCATAACCTGTAGGTGATGAATTACGAGTTAAGACGTTGTTGTAACTACGTATTCATGCGATGATACTCTAACCCTTACTATGAATTACGAGTTCAGGCGATGTTGTAACTACGTATTCATGCGATGATACCCTAACCCTTACTATGAATTACGAGTTCAGGCGATGTTGTAACTACGTATTCATGCGATGATACCCTAACCCTTACTATGAATTACGAGTTCAAGTGATGTTGTAACTACGTATTCATGCGATGATACACTAACCCTTACTGGACATGTATTGAGGGAGTAATCCCCGAATCAGTACTGTCTATGCGATGTAGGTGATGATCCTTAGGAACAAACATATAATGAAATGCGATGTAAGGAGATGAGAGATAAATACGATATAGGAGATGACCCTTAGGATAAATCTTTAGGGAAGATTAAATGAAGATAATGGGGATGGGTAATTGGGTTAATTGTTTGATGATTAAACATAATAATTATATTATTGTGGGTTGAAAACCCTATGTACTCACCATGTTTCCCAACCTGACCCACTCAGTTTATTTGTATCACATGTGTTGATACGAAGCTACATTACACTAAGAGATTAACGGAGATGTAGATCATTAGTGTAAATAAGGTCTGTTTATGCTTATGTTTTACTATTGACGATGACATCCCAAAGTTTTAATATGAACAAAATACATTTCTTCGGAAATGCTTTGATAATATATTTATCATGTTTTTCTGGGAACAAATTCCGCAATATTATTCATTAAAATGAATACTCTGATTTTCAAATAAGCATAAATAAAATTTTAAAAATGAACGTGAATTTGGGGATGTCACATCTTATCCTCCACATTTTCATGAGGGGCTCCATATCACCTACCAGCAACTCTACAACCCCTGCCACCACCAACTCTACCACCCCCGCCACTACCATTCCTACCACCCATGCCAGCACCATCTCTACCACCCTTTCCACCACCATTTCTACCACCTCTTTTAGTTCCTGACCAATTCAGTAAATCAGGTTCGAATCTAGGCCTCCCTATTTTCTTTTTAGGTTGACGTTCATGCACCATAGTAGGATTCTTGCAGGATTTTTTATTATGTCCCCTTTGTAGAAAATTTTGACATGGGACTGTTCTACCTTGCTTGAGACCTGAGATTACTTTTCCTCATGTTCAGATACATGCCTCTTTCTCTTCACACTAGGCCTTCATGGCATCTTCCTGTCAGTAGGTGGAAGAGTTTGTGTGTAAATTGTTTCTTCCCACAAATTACTTCCATTAACTAAGAGTATATTCTCTTGGTAAATAGCCTTGTAATTATTCTTGCTGAACCAAGTGCTTACGAAGTTGACTGGATTTTGATTAGTATATAGAATAGTTGCTTGTGCATGAACACAAGGAATCCCCGAAAGCTCCCATAGTCTGCAAGTACATGAGTGGTCCTTCAAGTCAACACCATAGCTTTGCAACCCATTCCTTACTTCATATGCATTCAAGCCACTTGGAATTATGCCCCAACTCCTGCAAAATACATAACATATTACATAAGCAATCAAATTATGAATGGAATTAGGGAAAACAAATAAGATACTTACTTAATATCTTCACCAAATTTATCCGTCTTCTTGATTGCTGAAGGACAAACTTCACCACTCCATTTTTCAGCCTCTAGTTTCATTTTATAAAACATTTCCATGATGTAAAGCCTAATGTCTTCCAACATGGTGAGTAGAGGTTTCTTTCTTGCATCTATGATGATTGAATTGAAGCACTCAACAATACCATTCTCTACAGCCTCACAAGCCAAGCCAGTAGAGTAGTAAGCCCTGCACCATGAAGATTGTTCCCTAGCCATGAGATGATCATATGCAGCAAAAGCCACTTCATTGATCCTTTCCATATTCAACTTGAAATCCCCTACTGTTGTAGATTTTGCTGATGCCCAAAACATGTTTTTAAACTCAACTCCATTATAAACCTTTATGAAATTAGCATAGATATGGCTGGCACATTTCTTGTGCTCAACATGTGGTAGAATATCTTTAGAACCTTCAATAAGACCCTGGTACATGAAAATAGTTAAAGATTAACAAGTACAGAAAATATTGTAGTTAATTAGGAATTACTCACATAGAAAAAGCTAGCTACTTTACCTTATGTTGATCACTGATTACACACATACCACTACCACCCTACAATCCAAGGTCATCATTAACCAATTCCATGAACCATTTCCAATTTACCTTTTTCTCTACTTCAACAATTGCCCATGATACAGGATACACCTGATTATTTGCATCCCTACCTATTGCAGTTAACAACTCACCCTTGCATTGTCCCTTCATAAAACAACCATCAAACCCTAGTACCCTACGACATCCCCTTTTCAAGCCCTCTTTAATTGCTTTAAAGCAAATGTATATTCTGTGAAATGTTGTGGTTTTATCAGGGTTTACAGTAATATAAATCCTAATTGTACTGTCTGGATTAGATCTCATCAACTCATGCCCGTAGTCCTAAACTCTTGAATAACGGTCACTCAATTTCCCATTAATAAATGGCAATGCCCTCATCCTTGATCAATAGCATTTTGACGATGTGATGTTGCAATGAAACTTACTTTATTTTTTTAACCTGCATCTCCTTGCATTTTAAGTTAGGTTTCCTAATCAGCTCTTTCATAAACTTCTTTACTAACCAAGTAGGATTTATAAGCTTTGCATTGTTAAAACACCTAACACAAGTATGCTTGTCTACAAGCTTCTTTACTTGGAATGATCTTCCAGTACTCATCCAATAACCCCTAACCAGTAATGGGCACTTCTCTGGAGCACTTCCACATATTGCGACTAGTCTAACACTATCACACTTTTTGAAACGAATTTGATAACCATTACTAATAGCATAGTTAGTTAAATACAATTTTAGCTGATGCGGGGATTCATACCTTTCACCAAACACTAGTTTCATTAAGTTTCATTTCACATTTGGGTTGTGGGTGGAATACTCGAAATCATCATCTGTCTCTTCTTCATCACTACATTTCACATACTCTAAGTCCAATTGTTGGTTATGGATTTGAGTTTGAGCATTATTTTGACCTTGAGCTTGAGGATCATTAGTTGCATCATCGCCATCGTCTTCTTCACAGAGAATGTTCAGAAATTCATCTTTACATCGGGAAATTGGTTTCCTCTTAAAATAATCATCGAGCTCCACATCTATGCTATCCAAATCATACACGTCGTCCATTTTTCGTCCTTTAAGACGGGGTGGGTATTTGTTTTACCGAGTCCACATAAGCCATTTAATGCCAAATCAGCATATGCTAAATCATTTAATGCCAAATCAGAGGATGAAATGTCAGGGGTTTTCAGTAAATGAAGGTATTTGTTTTACCGAGTCCACATAAGCCATTTAATGCCAAATCAGCATATGCAACCGGATAAACGTGAGTGACCGGATGAGATGGACCAATTTGTTTAATTTACCCAGTTTCCTGGGTTATTTTGTTTAAAAAAAATTAGGGACTAAATTGAAACTTTTTCCAAAAGTTTGGGACTTTTCTGATAAAAACCAAATGAAAAAGGTGTGGCGTGCTTGTTACGTTTGGGGACCAGCCAAGAGAAAAGAGGAAGATTCTTGGGTGCACGTCGCCAAATGAATCCCATACACGCGTTATATCTTTGAACTGATAAAGATGCGTGCGGCGCACCCGCTACATACGAAGCACACTCCCTAGTATCAATTTTGACATTTTTAACCCCTGATTTGTTTCACTTATTTCTTTTACACCCCAAGAGACAAATTTTTGCCGAAAACATCCACACTATGAGTATATAGAATTTGGCATATCACACAAGATAAGAAAAAGGATGAAAAAATCCCTGTAAACACCATGAAACTTTAAATCAGACTAATCACTTAAGGAAATCATCTGAGTATTTTTGGAAAACAGAAAAAGTCGATAAAAAGACAAGTTGCTAGAAAGTTAATCGGCTAGATACAATCCGTCTCCATAGCAAGAATGCACCGAGAGCATCTCAATAAGTAAAGTAGTATATCATGATTAAGCTAAATGAATTGAGTAAAGTCATTTAAGATTTGTGATCAATCAATCCAACTTACAAGAAGTAATCATAATATATCTACTACTATAGGATGGAACCAAGCCAACATAAGGACTAACACTGATAGACCCAACTACCATCAAGGCTATAGTAAAGAAACAAATCTCCAACACCCAAGTAGCCTATGAAGTAAACTGAAATAACACCCCAAAGCTAGAAGAAGGAAATGACAAGTGGAATAACAACAATAGCAACCAAAATACATACACTTACCAAATATTCATTAACGACAGACCTAGATCCTTCTATGGAGATGATGGAATAACTCGTCTAACCCACTGGATCAAGGAGATGGAATCATTCCTAGAAAACCACGACTGTGCCAGAAACCGTTGGGTTGAATTCAACACCTTTACATTTATGGATGCAACAACGTCAAAACCTTAGGAGTGGATACAACCTACTTATTCCCTTTGGAAGAAATGAAAAGGATGATAGTAGCAGAATTCTACCCCATGGGAGAAGTATCAAGAATGGAGCAAGAGCTCCGACATCTAACTACAAAAGGAGCAAATGTGTCAGCATAAACCAAACGTTTCAAGGTCCTAACCACCATATGTCTGGAGCTAATAAATTCAGAGGAAAAAATGATCAAGAAATACATCGAAGGACCAACTCTATCAATTCAAGGAGCGATAACCAATGCTCAACCTGACACCTACCACAAGACTAAAGAATTGGCCTTCATCCTTTATTTACCCTTCTTTTCTGTTCTTTTTGTCCCTTGTCCCGTACGTCCTAACTCATTCATTCAAGATATTATATAATGAACCTATTACGGAATCTAATAAGTTAAAAATCAAAGTAAAAGTTCTCAAGTTTAGCAGTAAGGGTCGGAGAAGGGAAATCACTCATTCTTAAAACTAGTGTTCTTAAGGCCAAAGAGTCGATAGAAAAAGGGGGGGGGGGAACTCTCCTAATAGGACAAACAACCCGCGAAAGAACAACGGCCGAACAAGTGAATGCAGAGAAAGTCAAGGCTAACAAGAGAAAATATGATGACAATTCAAGTAAATCCTCAGGTGAGAAACAAGTTATCAAGAAACCTCTTATTGCGACACACAGTCTTCCACAATGTAGTAAGTGCCAATACCTCCATGTAGGAGAGTGTAGAGAACTAGTCAGTAAAAACTATGGTAAAAGGGGCCATGTTGCTAAGTCTTGTAAAATCCCTACTCACACCAAGAACCAAAAAAAGCTGGTTCTAGTCGTTACACAACTGTTTTAATTACGGAAATCAATAACACTTCAAAAGGGACTACCCATAAAATCAATGAATAAATGCTTGAGGGGAAGTATTCAAAAGCATCATAAACTATGTAACTCCAAGAGCTACCTAGATGAGCTAGCATGTTACATTTAAAACAACAATGTACCCACAAATGGTAATAGGAATAATGATCATGTGCAATGATCTTAAGAAGAATCTTCAGTGACATTCTCAGGTTTCCTATTGGTGTAAAATAGACAAACAAAGAAAGTATTACGAAGTTAAATCAACCAAGAAGATCATACCAAGATTTCTCCCACTTGTCTCCATTTGTAGAAACCATAATCTGACTAGTTACCCAATTATGGAATACGTACGAATCATGTATAGCAAATCCTTTCGACAATCACCAAAGAGACAAAAGTTGTATTCCATACTCAATAGAGCATATGATACAAGGTTCTATGGAACTAAAATGCCAACTCCACTTACTCAATATTTCTCCACAATTATGAATTATAAACTAATCCCATAGAAGCTTAATGTAACACGATTACCCCAATGACACAAGTTGAATTTTGGGGACGAAATTTATTTAACGGCACGAGAATGTGACTACCAAGAAAAATGTGTCACCACCCACAATACTGATACACATAAATATAATAGAATAAGGTTATAGCATTTAATAACATCAAACAGTTTTGAAATCTCGTACTCGAAAATACGCCAATAACAAGACAGTAACGCCAAGAAATTAGAGCGCAAAAAGTCGTAATATCCTATAAAAATGATAACATAATTGGAATGTACACACCTACACAATCCCAAAGATACAAAATTTCTAAAAATCCGACTTCATATGAAAAAGACATGATTTTTATAAGATACCACGCATAAAAAGTTACAACGTAAAAAGTTACAAGGAGAATGGTTGACTTATAGCCAAAGTCACTAAAAGGAAAATTATAGTACTCCTCAAGATATGAATTTAAAACAACAATGTACCCACAAATGGTAATAGGAATAATGATCATGTGCAATGATCTTAAGAAGAATCTTCAGTGACATTCTCAGGTTTCCTATTGGTGTAAAATAGACAAACAAAGAAAGTATTACGAAGTTAAATCAACCAAGAAGATCATACCAAGATTTCTCCCACTTGTCTCCATTTGTAGAAACCATAATCTGACTAGTTACCCAATTATGGAATACGTACGAATCATGTATAGCAAATCCTTTCGACAATCACCAAAGAGACAAAAGTTGTATTCCATACTCAATAGAGCATATGATACAAGGTTCTATGGAACTAAAATGCCAACTCCACTTACTCAATATTTCTCCACAATTATGAATTATAAACTAATCCCATAGAAGCTTAATGTAACACGATTACCCCAATGACACAAGTTGAATTTTGGGGACGAAATTTATTTAACGGCACGAGAATGTGACTACCAAGAAAAATGTGTCACCACCCACAATACTGATACACATAAATATAATAGAATAAGGTTATAGCATTTAATAACATCAAACAGTTTTGAAATCTCGTACTCGAAAATACGCCAATAACAAGACAGTAACGCCAAGAAATTAGAGCGCAAAAAGTCGTAATATCCTATAAAAATGATAACATAATTGGAATGTACACACCTACACAATCCCAAAGATACAAAATTTCTAAAAATCCGACTTCATATGAAAAAGACATGATTTTTATAAGATACCACGCATAAAAAGTTACAACGTAAAAAGTTACAAGGAGAATGGTTGACTTATAGCCAAAGTCACTAAAAGGAAAATTATAGTACTCCTCAAGATATGAATTTTGAAAAAAAAAAGCCAAAAACAGAGTGTTATGATTTTTTGTAAACTCATTGAAGGTATAAAAATATAGGCTAAAAATAAAGTAATAATTAACCAAAATAACCTAAAGGGAAGTTGTAATACTCATCGAGACCTGCACGTGGGTATAAAGGTCGTCAAAAATGGAGCATGTAAATGGAAAATACGCCATTTACAAGACTGAGCATGCACGCTCGCGCACGACGTGCGTAATGACACCAGGTTCATGAGGATTTGGATGACGTGGCTCACATAAAAAAATGACATGTGTCAAACTCTGGTTGGGGCCAATGCGCATGTGTATGACATGCATTCCAATGACACCATGCGCGCCACAAAACCCCTCACTATAAATAGAGGTCTCTACCTGTAACACCGTAAACTTTCAAACCAAATTTTTCATTTTTAAAACACATAAACTTATATAATATTTCATAATAACCACAAGTGTCTCAAATGTCAACATAAATCCACAATAAAAGTCAAATCCCAGAACCCTCAACATAGTCTCGGACAGGTGTGTATAATCATGTCGGTGTCTTCCCGCGGTCCCGAGAGGTACCTGAAACACATAACACATAACACGGTAAGCACGAAGCTTAGTGAGTTTCCCAAAAGTTCCTCATTAACAAGATCTAAACGATATGATGAGCAAGGTGATGACTTTTACCTTCCAACAGAAGCTCCAAGTGAAAGAACACTAGATCCCACAACCTTTCCTCGTCCCTTGCTTGAATCTCTCTTCTTCTCTTCCAAAGGTTCACCAAAAACACTCAAAATTAGCTCTCTCACTCTCTCTTAGCTCAAATGGCCGATTAGGGTTTCACACAGGGGAGTTGGGTGGCTGGTGAGGCGGAAATGAGGACATAAGTGCCTATAAATAGGTCCCAACCCCGAAGATTTAGGGTTTCATCTCACAGCGCCAACTCGGCGAGTTGGTCCTTCCGACTCGTCGAGTTGATCAATAAACCCACGTGGCCAATTCGTCCCTACTCGACGAGTTGAGGCACCAACCCGTTGAGTTGCTCAGTCAAACTCATAATTAAATAAATAGATCTCAT